TCAATATGCACTGGAAGTCTTAGCCAGAGCTATAAGGCAAGAAAGGGACATTAAAGGCATCCAAATTGGCAAAGTAGAAGTAAAACTCTCTGTGTTTGCAGTTGATATGATCCTATACATTGAACTATTCAGCAAATTGGCAGGGTACAAGATCAATATACAAAACTCAATTGGATTATTCTATATTAACTACACTCCTTGGAAACCCTACACAGGATCTCTATAAGTTGGAACCAACTTGATGACACTTAACAACAACAACATACTAATAAAGACAGCTCAGGAAAGGAAATTAGGAAAGTAGTATAATTTACAATAGCCTTGAAAAAAATGAAATACTCAGGAATACATTTAACCAGAGAAACAAAAGACCTATACAAAGAAAACTACAAAACACTACTACAAGAAACCAAAGGATACTTACAAAAATGGAAGCCTATACCATGCTCATTGAAGGAAGACAACACTGTGAAAATATCAACACTCCCAAAATCAATCCATAGATGTAATGTGATTCCAATTCAGATACTAACATCATTTAAAGAGATGGAAAAACTGATCACTAACTATATGAAAATGGAAGAGACCTCTTAAGAAGAAGAACGCATTTGAAGGCTTCTCATTCTCTGATTTCAAAATTTGCTACATAGCCTCAGTAATCAAAACAACAAAAGATACATAGATCAGTGAAACCAAATTGAGAACACAGGAGTAAATCCATCCATACACAGTCAGCTAATATCTAACAAAGGAGCTCTGGTAGCGTAGTGGTTACGAATCGGGCTGTGAACAACAAGGTCAGCAGTTTGAAACTACCAGCCGTCCTGCGGGAGAAAGATGATGCTTTCTGCTCCTGTAAAGATTTACAGCCTTGGAAATCTTGTACAGGGTCGCTATGAGTCAGAACCGACTCCATGGCACATAACAACAACAATCTCTAACAAAGGGTCCATACACATTAAGTGGAGAAGAATTAAATACAGATGAACCAAAGCCAGTTATCTCATTACATAGCAGGCTGCTAATCTCAAGGTCAGCAGTTTGAAACCACCAGTGGTTCCGCAGGAGAAAGATGAGGCTTTCTGCTCCCGTAAAGATTTACAGTTTTGGAAACCCTATGCAGGGTTGCTATGGGTCGGAATCGACCCAGCGGCACTTAACAACAACATATATAAAACCAAACTCAACAAGGATTAAAGACCTAGATGTAAAACTAGAACTATAAAGATCATCAATGGAAACATTGGGACAAACTTAGGGACTCTAATGCATGGCATAAAGGCACTATCAAACATTACAAAAAGCACACAAATGGGTAGAAGTCAAAATAGATGACTGAAACCTTCTGAAAGCCAGATACTTGTGTGCATCAAGAGATTTCACTAAAAGAGGAAGCCCACAGATGGGGAAAATTTTTTTTAGCAAGACATATCAGACAAGAGACTAATAATATTTGTGGAAAACTATAACACCACTACAAGAAAAAGACAAACAAATTTAAAAATGGGCACAGAACATGAACAGATACTTCACTAAGGAAGACATCAAGGCAGCAATGTTCATGATCATTAGCCATTGTTGTTTTTGTTGTTAAGTGGCATTGAATTGGTTCTGACTCATAGTGACCCTGTGTAGGGTTTTCAAGGAGTTGTTGATGAGCTTGAACTGCTAACTACTGTTAGCACTTCAGTACTTATCCTACAGTGCCGCACCAGGAATCCCATTAGCCTCTGTCATTGTTGTTAAGTGCTGTTGAGTTAGTTCCAACTCATAGCAACCCTATATAGGGCTTCCAGGGAGCAGCTGGTGGGTTTGAACTGTTGATCTTGTGGTTCATAGTCTAGTGCAGATCCTACAGCACCACACCAGGAGTCCTTTAGCCATTGTTGTTGTTGTTAAATACCATGGAGTCAGTTCCAACTCATAGTGACCCTGCACAGGGTTTCTGAGGCTATAAATATTTACAAGAGCAGAAAGCCTCATCAGTTTCCAACTACTGACTTTGAGGTTAGCAGCCCAATTTGAAACCACTACCCTACCATAGCGCCTTCCTTTAGCCTTTTGCTATTAGAGAGATGCAAATCAAAATAGCAATGAGATATTATCTCACACCAGCATTAGTAGCAAAGTTCAGAAAACAACAAATGCTGGCTAGGTTGTAGGGAGTCTGGGATCCTCCTACATTGCTGGTAGGACTGTAAAATGGTTCATTCACTCTGAAAAATTGTGCGGCGCTTCCTCAGAAAATTGGATGTAGAAATAATGCTTGACCCAGAAATCTCTCTACTTGGTATGTATCCACAAGAAATAAGAGTCAGAACAATGGTAGATATATGCATACCAATGTTTATTGCAGCACTATTCATAATAACAATACGACAGAGATAGCCTAATTCCATCAATGGAAGAATGGATAAACAAACTTTGGTACATACACACAACAAAATACTATACAACATTGAAGAGTAATGAAGGACCTGTGTAACACCTTCTAACATAGATGAACCTGGAGGACATTATGCTGAGCGAAATTAGTCAATCACAAAAGGACAAATATTGTATGAAGCCATTATTGTAAAAACTCAAGAAAAGGTTGTCATACTAAAAGAAACATTCTTTGATGGCTACCCCAGTGGGAGGGAGGGGAGAGTAATTCACTGGCTAGAGTGTAGACGCATGTTAACTTGGGTGACAGGGAGGGCAACATACGAGAAGAAGGAAGGCAATATATAAGTAGAGGAAAACTGGGAGAAGAATGATGAAGACAGGTGAAGAAGACACAGGTAGGTATGCAATGACTGAAGGGGACAGAGGTAAATAGTGATATGTACATAACTTTGGAATAACAATTTTCTGTGGGTACATACATGGACAGAGACAAAAGCCGAATGGGTATGGGAGGAAGAGTGGTATACACACACACACACACACACACACACACACACATATATATATATTGTTGTTGTTGTTAAGTGCCATTGAGTTGGTTCTGACCCATAGTGATCCTGTATAAGGTTTCTGAGAAGCAGCTGGTGAGTTTTAACTGCTGACCTTATGGTTCAAAGCGACTTTGTAGTCCAGCGCATGAACCCATAGTGTCACAGCAGGACTGCATATATATGTATATATATAATATATATATTCCACAAATATATGAGTTAGAAAAAGGATCTTTATATGTGTATTTACCTATCCTGCAAATACACATATGAATGTGGTGGTGCATACATAGGGCAAAATGATGAAAAGTTCTTAGATATTATCAAACATCTTAAAGCAATGAGTTGCTGGACATGGGGGCTCAGGACTATAACTTCAGGGGATACCATGGTCAATTGGCATATGTTCTATATCCTACTTCAGTGAGTAGCATCTGTGATTTTGAAAGCTCACGAATGGCTGTCTAAGGTGCAGCTAAGTTTTCTCTATGTGCAGAAGAAAGAATAGTGTTAAGAATTGAAGAGTCTTGGAATTAGTCCTATGAACTCATGGACCATGTTAACATCAGTCTCCATGACTTTGAGACCTGATGAACTAGACTATGTGTCCAGCTACCACTACCAAGTGCTCTGAAAGGAATTACATTAGAGAGTTCCAGTTAGAGTGGGAGAAAATGTGGAACAAAATTCAAAATTATTTAAAAAATAAAAGATGTAGTTTACTGGTCAGAAAGAGACTGTGGAGGAATCTGAGACTATGGTCCTTGACCACCCTTCAGGTCTGGAAAGTAACTCACCTTCGTGACCCAATTTTCAGTCAAGCAGTAGTAGATAGGTTGTTGTTGTTGTTAAGTGTCGTGGAGTCGGTTCCGACTCATAGCGACCCTGCACAGGGTTTCTGAGGCTGTAAATCTTTACGGGAGCAGAACGCCTCATCTTTCTCCTGCGGAACCGCTGGTAGTTTCGAACTGCTGACCTTGCGGTTCACAGCCGGATTCGTTAGTAACCACTACGCTACCAGAGCTCCTTAGTTGGAGTAGATAGGTATATAGATGGAAAAACCAAGACTGGCAAGAAATGCTCACCATGGAATGGTCAGGAAACATTTACATAAAGACAAAGCTGAGAAAGGATGGGAAGGTGGGTGGAAATAGTAACCAAAGGGAAGAAGCAGGATAACTGCTTATGCACGAAGGGGATTGCAATCATTGAGATGAAATGAAGTGTTGAATGTAAAACTTGTTGAATGTAAAACTGAGGATCTTGTCTCACTCATGTCACAATAAAATAGTTGTTTTTTTTTTTTTAAACAACAACAACAACAACAACAAAAATACTGCTTTAGTATCACTAACAAAGAACTAACTTTAAAACAAGGAGAAATTACTCTCTCTTGACTGTAAAAATCGTAGCACTACAGTTTCCTATGGGAAATTCACCAGGTAGATTTTTTTCCTTTGCTATGGAAACTGCCAGATGGTGAGACAAAGAAAGGTAGGCACAGTAAATCTGAACTTACTTGGGTCATACCATCACTAACTAATCTTGTCAGCTGTCCTGTTTGCTTCCGTGAGTAAAGCAATAACTAACAAGTCTTAGAATTCCTGGTCTGGACTGCTAACTGCAAGGTTGGTGGTTCAAACCCACCAACCTCTCCTCAGAAACACTATACAGGGATGCTATGGGTTGGAACCGACTCCACAGAACTTAACCACAATGAGTCTTGAACTGAGTAGGGAATTTCCCTCTCTTGTTCATGCCATGCAGTTCAGGTCTCAGCTAAGAAACCCTGCCTATCATTGACTCTTCATTCCCAGCAGGAGAGAGGAGTGGTGTGGAGAGATGTGGCATGGTGAAAATTGGCCTGGGGGCAGGCCTTCTAATCTAGGAGCCTTGGGGCACTGTTTGCAGAGCACTACAGAGCACTCTTGAGTACCTCAGCATTTGTGAAACCCTCCCTGTGAGGTATCCATGCCCTGCTTCCCATAAATATGACTTTCAGTATCACAGACACCAAGTTCCTTCTGACTCACCCCTCCTCTGAACCTGCTCCCCTCCCTTTCACTCCCACATCCAAGCTGGGTCCAGGTATGGCATCCCCCACTCACTGGCGAGGATGACCATATCCATGCCCCAGAAGATGCTCATGATCCAGCCCACCATTACGATAGCCGTCAGGATCTGGATGAGGGCTGCAGCGATGTTCAGCCAGAAGACGCAGCACACATGTCTTTCTGGGAGTTCAGTCCGAGCTCCACACAACACAGTGAAGGCTGAGACAAATGTCCCTGTAGAAGCAGAGGGGAAACAGAGAAGCTGATATGCTCATCATTGGCTTGGGGTTCAGCTGCCCACCATTGGAGAGCTTGGCCAGAAGCAGGGAGTCTCACTCAGACCCTGGACTTCTACTCTGGTAATAGTGGGGGAAAAAAATCAACTCAGTTATTATGGAGTCAGTTCCAACTTATGACAACCCCATGTGTGCCAGGGCAGAACTGTGTTCCATAGGGTTTTTAATGGAAGTAGAAAACCAAGCCTTTCTTTTGACCTGTGTCTGGGTAGACTGAAACCCACCAACCTTTTGGCTAGTAGCAGAGAGTGTGTTAACCTAATTAGCAAAACTCAGGAACTCCACCCTGGAAGAGGTATGCCAAGGCGTTTCTAGGGGTCCAGCACGGTCCTGGGTCTTTGGGAAACATAACAGTTACATGACAAGTCATCCAAACCCCTGCAAGAATGACAGATGGTAGTTGGGAAGAGTAAGATTTAAACTCAAATCTGTCTAGATTAGAAACCTGAGTTCTTTTCAATTGCAGACTATTGTATGCTTACATTAAAAAATAAGGAAAGACACTGAACAAATTGTATAGAAAATTATTGAATGGGAACTTAAACTGCTTCACTAAAACCACAAAATTGTTATTAAAAAAAAATAATAAAGCAAGAAATTTCAACCTTAATGACTTTCAGAATATCCTTGAACCTTCTTATCCCCCACTTCATGGAAGGTCCCAGAGTATATGACACCCTAATCTCTGGTCTGCACTGTCCTGACTTGGTGGGATTGGGCTACAATCCTGTGATTCTCTTTCTTTGTAAGTGTGGCATCACCTTATTCATCCTGCCTAGAAATAGGAACAGTGATCTACATTCATTCATGTTTTTATCAGGCTGAACCAAATGCAATTGCCTTTTTATTTTTGCATTTCAGCAACTTAGTTGAAAAGTATATCCCTTAATATTAAACCATAATGGTAATTTTGTTAGGTTACCTCTGTCACCTGAAAATTAGCACTGATGTATTAAAATATTGAAATGTATCAGCCATTTGGGAAAACTAAAAAGTTATCCACAAAACATAGTTTATAAAAGTTAATATATACTGTCTTTATTTGGCTTATTGTTCTGTGCATGGTGGTGATGGTGGTCGTGGTTATATGCCATGGAGTCTGTTCCAACGCAGAGCAAACCTGTGTAGGGTTTCTGAGGTTGTAAATCTTTACTGGAGCAGAAAGTCTTATCTTTCTCCTGCAGAACAGCTGGTCATTTCTATGCATATTTATCCATAAATATCTGTAACTTGATACCAAAAGTAATCAGAATTGATTACAACCATTCTGGATAGTCTCAGGCTACATAATGCACCGAGTAATTGTTTTCAATGCTAAACACTGTAGATCTCTTTACATTCATTGTTACATGTGGAGAAACCCAAATACTACTTCAGCTGTCTTATACTTACTAAAGTATCTAGTGACTTTTCTTAAGTCTTTATTTTGGCACAAATGTTGTTGCTAAATGTTGTTGAATTTGTTTCAATTCACAGTGACATTGTATTGAGTTTTCCAGAAGCAGATGGTGGGTTTGAACAGCTGACCTTTTGGCTAACAGTCCAGTTCTTATCCTAAAGCACCACACCAGGACTCCATAATGTTGTGTTGGCACAGAAGGGGCATTTAATAGAAGTATACTCTGTTCTTTTATATACAAAATTCCAAAAGGCAATGACAACTTTTTAAAAATAGTCCTTAGTAAAAACTTCTGGAGTATTAACTCTAACTTGAACTTGCATTAATGAGGCAAGGCAAGATTTCAGAGTGTTAACTTCTTTTGATTTTCAGTGGGATAAGATTGACACAGTAGATTCTATATAGAAATTAAAAAAAAATTTTAATGAACAAAAATATCTCCAATTTTCTAGAAACAAATATTAAAAACAACTTAATGAGTATGCCAGACTTACCAGGTCTATTATTTTGCTTTATAGAAAATGCCCTCAAATGTAAATGTAATTGCAAGGTAGCAAAGAAGTCTATATATCTGAATTATATATTTTTACTGTTGTCGTTGTTAAGTGTGGTTGAGCTGGTTCTAACTCATAGTGACCCTATATAGGGTTTCTGAGGAGTGCCTGGTGACTTTGAATGCCAATCATGCAGTTCAAACTGACCTTTAGGTCCAGTGTTTATCCTACAGTGCCACACCAGTAAACCATTTAGACTGCCTAGAATGGTGATCCTTGTAAAATGCTGGTTTTAATATAAGCCTCATAATAAAATAAGCACATTTGAGATGACTGAGTTTAAGTAGGTTACCACCTTAATATCACCTAAATACATTGATGCAATATAGAAATTTAAATCAATATTAAAAATGAAGATTTACAGTATATCAGGCTTATCGCTACAGTGGCACATTTATATTCTTAGCTTTTATTTGTATGCATCACAGATGAATTCAAATCTAAATATAATTCTACTATAGTATAAAGTTGGAGCACAGTGGTTCCATAGTATAAACACTGGACTATAAACCACAAGGTCCACAATTCAAGCCTACCAACCACTCAAAAGAATGATGAGGCTTTCTGCTCCCACGAAGATTTAAAAACCTTAGAAACCCTGTACAGAGTTGCTATGAATTGGAACCAACTCGATGACACTTAAAAACAACAACAACATAACAATGTGGAATACTGGTGTGGTGCTGTTGTTGCACTGGATTGCTAACCACAAGGTCAATGGTTCAAACCCACCAGTTGCTCCTCAGAAACCCTATGCAGGGTCGCTGAGTTGGAACTGACTTGATGACACTTGACAACAACAACATAGTATGATGTTAATAAGTAGTCAATTTTTCCAAGTTTGAGATCATCAATGCTAATTGAATTGTGATGTTTGAGGTTTCACAGTTTAAATCCATTCTAACACTATGGGCTCCACAGCTCAGGGTTGTAGAGAAAAGTTTCAGAGAAGAGTTTTTTGTTGCTTTAATAATCCAATTAATGAACCATTACAGGAATTGTTGGAATGTGGGTTATCCTGTAGCAACTATGATTCAACTGCCTTTCTGATCACCCAGAAACAGTTAATTTCAACTTCTGAGCATTTGGTTTGGAACACTTTTTGATGAATATTCAGTTATACACTTGAACATGAGTTCTTGCCAGCAGGTCAAATCTCTGCCATTTGTCTTTGAATGTTTCTGAAGACATTCTAGCCCTTCTGTTAATTGTACACACTTCTGGGCTTAGACCCAGTGCAATAATAGATAATGCCAACACAGAGGGCTTTTCTTTAGAAAATATAATCCTACAATCACATACCTTAAATTGAACCTAGTTTTTCAAAATTAAGGCTACTTTCCCTTTTAAGTGGTAAGTTCTCTTGAATAACCGAATAACAATGTTGCAGAAACTGTAAGGCAGTAGTTTGACTTTCCGACACACCATCTCCAACACAAGTTTTTCCATTGTGAACAAATCAGAAACTGAATTTAAACTTGGAAATGGACCCTGTTCAACCATTTCAAGAAATAACATATGATCAAGAGCCAATGATACTGAAGGAAGAAGTTTGGAAGAAGCTTGGTACTGAAGGAACAAGGCTCTAGGAATTGATGGACTATGAATTGAAATATTTCAACAAACAGATGCAACACTGGAGGCACCCATTCATCTATGCCAAGAAATTTGGAAATTGTCTACCTGGCCAACTTATTGGAAGCGATCCATATATGTACCCATGCCAAAGAGAGGTGACCCAATGGAATACAGAAATCATCAGCCAATATCATTAATATTACATGCAAGCAAGATTTTGCTAAAGACAATTTAAAAATGGCTGAAACAGTACATTGACAGAGGCTCAAGCCAGATTCAGACAAGGACTTGGAATGAGAGATATTGTTGCTGAGCTCAGATGGAACTTGGTTGAAAGCACATAATATCAGAAAGATGTTTACCTGTCCTTTATTGACTATGCAAAGGCTTTCAACTGTGTGCATCATGACAAGTTGTGGATAACATTACGGAGAATGGGTATTCCAGAACACTTATTTAATTGTGCTCAGGAGGCACCTGTACATAGAAAAATATTGGTTGTTTGAGCAGAACAAGGGGACACTGAATGGTTTAAAATTAGGAAAAGTGTGTGCCAAGGTTGTATTCTTTCGTCATACTTATTCAATTTGTATACTGAGTAAATATTCCAAGAAACTGGATTATATGAAGAAGAATGTGGCATTAGAATTGGAGGAAGACTCATTAACAATCTGCAACGTGCTGATGACACAACCTTGATTTCTGAAAGCAAAGAAGATTTAAAATATTTACTGATGAAGATAAGAGACCTCAGCCTTCAGTACGGGCTGCACCTCAATGTAAAGAAAACAAAAGTCTTCACCACTAGACCAATAAATAACATCATGATAAATAGACAAAAGACTGAAGTTGTCAAATACTTCATTTCACTTGGATCCACTATCAACAGTCATGGAAGCACCAGTCAAGAAATTCAAATCAAGTATTGTATTATGGAAATCTGCTGTACAAGACCTCTTTAAGAGCAAAGATGTCACTTTGAGAACTAAGATGCCTCTGACCCAAGCCATGGTATTTTTAACAGCCTTATATTGAATGTGCTTGTGAAATTTGGACGAAGAGATAAGGAATACCATAGAAGGATTGATGCATTTGTGTTATGGTGTTAGAGGAGAATATTAAATGTTTCATGGACTGCCAAAAGAACAAATAAATCTGTGTTGGAATAAAGTACAGCCAGAATGCTCCTTAGAAGACAGGATGGTGAGACTTGGTCTCTCATACTTCAGAAATATTGTCAGGAGGGACCAGTTTCTGAAGAAGGACATCATGTTAGGTAAAGTGAAGAAAGACGAAGAACCCCAGTGAGATGCACAGTGGCAGCAGCCATGGGCTCAAACATAGCAATGATTGTGAGATTTGCACAAGACTGTTCAGTGCTTTGCTCTTTTGTGTACGGGGTCACTA